GTATTAAATGGCACGATTAGGTAAAATTTGTCACACTATGAAATTATATAAACCTTCCATGGTTAGGATAATCGTCTCATTCTCTAGGTAAACTTTGTCACATTACGATATCTTTAACAAGATCACAAAAATGTGACATTTTAACCATTATAGTGTCTGACAGCAATATATTTTCTTTCTGGGCAGTGTATATGAGAGTATGGGTCACGTGGCTAATGTTCAAAACTTCTGAACATGCTAGATTAATAGATGTTAAAATTAAACCACTATCGTCGAAAACGCTATTTTTTAGATTTACCAATATCCTCAAACTTCAATGAACGTGTCCATATAATACATTTTAAAAATCGATGAACAATTTTCATTGAACATTCAAAAAGATATCATTGTACTGACCACAAAGTGACGACTTCGTTGGAGTAGGAATGTGTTGGGACTGACTTTGCCCGAGCTAAACCTGAAATTAATATCTGTGTCAGTAAATAGTGGTTTCAGGACAGAACATGATTATTAATATTTAAGTCGAGCCGGTTCTGGTTAGGCGGTTCACTAAAGATGATTAGATTTCAAGAATCCAACCCTGCGTATCAATACACAGGGTACGGTTAAGTTGAGTTCTTGAAATTAATATTGCCTCCCCCAACACAAAACTCAAGTTACATCAGAAATTTACAGCGGAACATACTGCATAGTGAGTGATTGAAATGTCCATGTGACAGTTATAGTAATTAATGAGTGGCATCTGGATGTATCTCAACTGTTAAAAATATTCCGAATGATCTTCTTTGTCGAAAGTAAATTGTAACATTTATTGTTGGATTATGTTTCCGAGGTTACGATAGATGAAGCCTTGTTTTATGTGCCAGAATGTTTGACAGCTTTTTTAGGATATATATAAATATAATATATAACCACTCACTGAACTACTACTACTACTACACTCACTGAACTACTACTACTACTACACTCACTGAACTACTACTACTACTACGCTCACTGAACTACTACTACTACTACACTCACTGAACACTAGTAGTAGTAGTAGCACTCACTGAAGTGTCAAATAAAAGTTACATTTCTTCTGTTACTCACTATTAACCGGCTTTTCAATCGGCTAAAAACATTATTTACCATTGGTAAATTTACTCTTTTAAAACTTTCAACACTTCTTTAGAAAAAATAATTTGAGGAATCAACCGAAGATAGTAAACCTTAGTTTCAAGTCAAAATACGATATATTTACCACCAGTTCTTACTTTCTAATTCCCCGAAATATTTCACCCTGATTCCAGCTAATTTTCAGTCAATTATCCAATTAGCTAATCATCCATACATCAGAAAGACGGATATAATACCACCACACTTAACTACAGCTAATTTAAGATATCTAATTATAGTCATGAGCGAGAAAAGATGTACACAATAATATAAAGATGGTCATTGGTACGGAGTGTACACATCAGATTGGGATAACAATTGTCAGGCGCGTCTCCTCTGTAATAGTTGTATTGAGAAATGAGATATTTCTTGCATGAAAGTAATTGCTTTCTTGGAGGCTGCCTGTTACTTTAAAGTTACTATTACTGGGACTACAATGAAATATGACACAGTGCTCTGGGATATGTTAATGCACTCTAAAAATAAACGATGTCTATAGTTTCTTGGATGAATCGCTGTGGCTTGAATATATATAATATTTACATTATTGAAACTCTGAAATTGTACAGAGTGCAGGAAACGCTTTGTGGATAGGCACAAAATTGAATGCAGCTAGGGGAGTTGGTAAAATTACCATTACCTGCAACAGGCAACATTACGCCACTGACCTGGGTACCTGGTAATATAAATGTTCTAGTAATATTAACTAACCAGCTAACAGCCAGTCTCCTGAGTTGTAGAACTTATAAATTCAGGGGATGCAATAATAATGGGATTTTACCTTATTGTACCAGATTTGAGCTGCGAGTTGACTACAAAAGTAATGTACTTTTACACAGAAGTGTACCGTAAACATCTTGTGGCATATCTAACAAAATATCGTCAACTCATATTCTATTTTCGTCTATTTAAGATGTATTAAAAAGAGTGACATTAATAGTTCTCTAAATAAAATGGTTCCAAAAATGCAATTTTAATTTTAAGAACGCAATTTTTATAACCGAACCAGATCGCTTGAAACTTAACCGGTTCTGTCAAGAGGTTGTCAGAGAAGGATTGATAATGACAAATTCTAAAATGCAACCTTTGAGATGGATTAATATAACTCAAATTTCCCGGGAAAAAATATGATGTCAATTGTCAGGTGATAAGAAGAGTCTCAAAATCATTTAGTATAGACTATAAATGTTGGGCACATGGAAGGGTTATGTCTTATAAAGAGGAATTTAGAGCGGGGTTTCGTGGGTCAATCTCTAAAATATGGCAGGCTTGAATCTTCAAAATGTGGTGTCCAAGAAGCTGAGATATATGATGAGGAAGTAATCATGTTAATGTGACTGAGGCGTTTCCCCACCCTGACTGGGGCGTTTCCATGCCTTTTACTTCTCAGGGTGGGGTTCGTCTTAATAATCTACAAGAATCATAAGATCTAGAACAACCTTTTTACTATTTAATTTCCAACCTGTCCCGCATCAACGCGATTATAATTGAGGAATGTACTTTGATTTAAATAAATAGATAAAAAAGAATGATAAGTCGATCGCAAGATATGTTTGTCATTTTATTGAATGCCTTACGAGACATATTTAAATGGTACGAAAGTCGGTGGTTTTTCGAAAAAAAACCACCATATTTTCGGACTACCAAAATTTAGATCACCATCATCATGGCAGTTTTAGGTGAAAATTCCCATATTTTCGTTTCATTTAGGTCACTGGAATTATGTCGAACATAAATATGCATATGTCTCGTAAGATAGTTTTAGTAGTTATATTAATTTGCGTCTTACTTGCGGACAGTTGTTTTTGAAGTAACTGACAGTGCAATAGAAATCCTTTTTTTCTATTATGTCTATATTGAAACTCAGATTCAGTTAGTTTCTTTTGAATTTGTAATGTCTTGACACTTTAATACTGTAGCCTCCGGGTTCCCTTCTTGGCTCGCCCTTGGAGTTGTTAAGTCGTATAATACTGTATAGTCAATAGTTTTACCATTATTTAACATTAGTTAACGGTTTATCCGTCTCGTCGTAAACCCTCAGTACTTAACAAGTTAATTGTCTGTAAGTTGGGGAGGTAAAAGTTGTTAATCTATACAACAGTCTGCAGAGAACTATTGATTTGAAGGCCATTAAAGCATTTGAACCAATCAAAAAAGTTTAAGTTGTTTATCTTTTACGGTTTTTGCAAAGAGTCGTGTTAAAGTTGATGCCGTGGTGTCAGTAAAATGGTACGGGTATATATAATATGTATCGTCTCGCTTTATATATATAGTAAGATAGATAAAAAAGAATGATATGATAGTCGATCGCAAGATATTATGTCAGTCATTTTATTGAGTAGTGAAACTTTAATAATGACTTATTTAGTCTATAGAATATTTAGTTTATAGAATATAATGGAACCTCTAATTTTCCAATGTAATATAATTGACTAAAGACTGACAAGCAGTATATTTGTGGGTGGTCGTATAAATAATAATTGTCTCACAACACATACCAGACACGCCCACACACTGGTACGCCACTTTAATACTCAACAACCAATCAAACAACTTAATTGGAACCGAGAAATTGGGGGGTTAAAAATAGATCTGCATTTTCCCGGCCTGTTCAAACAACGTCATGTTCTTATCTTTTAGCCAATTACAGGATACTGTGGATATAATTCTCATTTAACCCAATCTACTAAATATTTAATTCTGTATTTATGATGAGGATATGACTTTGTTATTCGTAAGAAAATGCAACCAATCCCGATCCAGACATATTTTAAACATTATATTTCATTATATACATCACAGACAGCATCAAAATACACTTTGGAATGGGGCCTAGGCCTAATTGGAAAAAAGATTTTTGCAATCAATCGAGCGGTATCCTACTGTATCCTGTCATTACTACAACTTAAAATCAATTTCAAAATTTGCACGAATTAGTTGCAATACCATCTGTCATGTTGTCTATGTTATAATGATACTGACAAGACGTCATAGATTGATTCGGATTGAGAGCCGAAATCATGGAGAACTTCCAGTTCCATTTCTTCAGCCTGAACATGGCTCAACAGTGAACATGCAGGTTTTCGGTATTGCACTGCAGAGTGCAGGTCTATGTGGCAAGCAGTGTGAGAATGAGGGTAGTAGCCTACCAACCGCCCGTAATGAACTGTCTATACTGCATAACAAACTGCAGTATCTTCATGGTTTAATGTCTATCGTTAATATCTTCTTGTTCTATAGTATTTATATATTAGTAGTATTATTATCCCGACGTCAGTCATCACTCCACTGACAGGCCTGTAAACTGTTAAGGTCCATGAAGACTCAGGTCCCACCTTCATCTCCCCAAGAAGTTAATGGGGAAATCACCATAATATAAGCTCATACTTTTAGCTTGGATTGAAAGGATTGTTGATTTTGTCACAATATACATAAGACGTCATATGTTTGTTTGTTTGGGGACCGGTTTTTTATACCCGGCCAATGTTTACAAAATAATATAATACATAACAATATAATTTTATTTAATATGCGTGAATATGAAAATTGAAAATGTTGATTACGTCTATTCATTAAAAACAAAAACAGAAACTTTAAAAATTAAAACTTGTATATCATGATTTATTAACATATAGTGACAAATAATTTGATTTGATACGACAGATGATCACACGCACTGTTTTATAAGCTACTTGAGGTTAAAACAAAAAAGAGTAACTGAGCCCATGTCTTATCAGCACCTGGTAGCGCTATCTATATGATGCTATTAATATGACAGTGAATGGGCAGTGAAAAAAAAGTGGCATATGGTTGATAGTGACTAGTGTGCTAACCGTCTGGTTTTATTTATTCCTTAGTTTATTCTCGGTAGTTGATTTGTTGTGTGCCTGATCTTGTCGATTTACGTAGCCCGGGTAAATTATGTAACAGAAAAGGTGGCCATTCTTCATCGTTTCCTGAGCTTTGTAGTTCTATCATTACACGCTTCGCTGATTTCTTTTATATGCTTATTGAGAAAATGCTAGATGGGCAAGTTATGCGACTAATGTTGTGCTCGGTAATAGCTAATATAGGACCTTTATACAGAACACTAGCGCGTAGATCTGGTTGAGAGAACGTTGTTAGCCAGTCGATATTGTCGTCATAAGACGTGCCATACTTTGGTATATCGGGAGGAAATAAGTCTTTTATCGACGACGGCAGAAGGCCAGGCATGTAAGTTATCTTGTGCATCAGAGTCAGAGCATTTTTTATGATGACCCCGTGTACAGATAATATTTCGTACTCTTTAAACGTAGTTTTAGTATGATCCGGAAGCTTACCGTCCTTGTAATAGTAATTCACGTAGCCCGGCATAACTGCTCGTATTCCCTGCTTTTGTTTAGTGAACAGTGATTCAATATGGGATTTTGCAGCAAAGCCCCAAACTAGTGAACAGAAATTTAAGTGAGATTGTACAAAACTTTGGAAGATCTGTAAGCGTGCTTTGATTGGTAATTTGCGTTTTATTTTGAACATAATACCTATAAACCGTGACATTTTTGTTTTGACGGCTCGGATGTGGCTGGCCCATTTTAGTTTGTCGTCGACGATAACTCCTAAAAACCTGGCCTCCGTTTTGCGTTCTATAGGAGAGTTGTCGATACTTACTTGTAGAGACGATAGATCTACCCGTCTTTTTGAAAATACCATATAGCAAGTCTTCTTCAGATTAAGAGCTAGGCCGTTCGAGTTAACCCATTTTATCAACACGTCAGTGAGGTGGTTTACTTTGGATATAATGTCTTGTACATTTGATCCGGTGATAATAATGTTTGCGTCGTCTGCGTATAATATAAATTTAGCTAGGTTACTGATTCCTGGTAAGTCATTGATATATATGACAAAGAGCAGGGGGCCTAATATGCTCCCTTGTGGAACACCGTATATCATAGATTCTAATGATGAATTGGAGCCGTTTAGGGAAACAAATTGACTGCGACCACTGAGGTATGACTCGAACCATTTCAACGCAATGCCACGAATACCGTAATGCTCAAGTTTCCTGAGTAATGTCGCGTGATCTAGGACGTCAAATGCCTTGCTATAGTCTAAAAGTAATAAAAGTGCTATTTGGTTCTTATTTAGAGAATGCAGAATAGAGCTCTGAGCATTGAGAAGTGCGTGCTCACATGATCTTCCTGGTCGGAATCCGTACTGATTCTCGAATAGAGAGTTATTCTTGTCGAGAAATTCTAAAACGCGTCTGTGCATTAGTTTTTCATAAATTTTTGAGAACGAGCCCAGAAGCGAAATAGGTCTATAATTCGCTACGTCGAGTTTACAATCTCCTTTGTGTATAGGTGTAACTTTTGCCGTTTTCAAAGCTTTAGGGAAAGCTCCCTCTACAAAAGATGTGTTAACTACTTTTGCTAAGGCGCATAAAAAATTTTGGCATGTGCTGGCTATTTTCAAGGGCTCAATCTTTGAATCGAGAGTTGCCTTATTTTTTAGGCCAATAATAATTCTATGAATCTCGGTGGGCCCAGTAGGTTCGAGGTAGATAGACGTTGGACATGACCCGGTCAGATACTCCTGGAACCCCCCAGGATCGAAGGTCTGTCGGGAACTGATCTGAGACTTGATGTTGGCTGCGATGCTGGAAAAGTAGCCATTGAACTTTTCAGCGACTGCCGAGTTAGTACTCAAGATCGTCCCGTCAGTATCCCTCAATCTGATTTGATCAGATCCCCGTCTTTTTCTGTTTAGCAGGCCGTTGATTATCTCCCATTGTTTTTTGGAACAGTCCTGATATTTTTCAAATTGTTTTTTGTAATACCGCTCCTTGGCAATGTTAACGTGTTTACTGCAAAATAGTTTCATTTTATCGTATGCAGCTATGTTTTCATCAGTAGGCTCTGTGATATTAAGATGGTATAATAATAATGATAATAATATAATAATAAAATAATAAAAAAAAAAAAAAAAAAAAAAAAAAAAAATAATAATAATTATAAACGGTTCATTTCATTTTCATCAGAAAACAATAACTCCACACCCCTCTGATATTCAATAATATTGACAATATTAAATAATATCATAATACTGCTCAGATCTTTACATTATAACGCCCCAGGCCGAATAAGATCTTTATTAGCAATACTCGAAGCAACAGAGAGAGAAAGTTGCGCACATAGCAGCCCCACCCTCTCGAGCCTTAAATTAATAGAGGATATTGGCAGGTGTCAGTATACCAGGAATATTCCCCTGGAGACCTATATCTCAGAGGTGAGAGGAGGGGTTGTTGGTCAGACATTTCAAAGACAACATGCTAAGTGCAGGGGGGCAGTGACAGTTCTTTCACAGCGCCGTAAATTGAGTACCATTTTGACGTGACGTGAAATAGACAACGTGATTTTATAAAAGCTTCGTTATTTAGTAGTCATATTTAAGATTTTTGTAGAGGAAGTTTTATGACCGTATTTCGTGAGTTTGAAAAAAAAACGACGCAAATTGCAGATTTAAAATTTAGTGCCAGGGCGTATTATATCATATTATATATATCGAGGATACTGAAATGTACGCAGGTTTTGGGTAATGGGATATGCCCAGGTTGAGCTAAATGATTTTAAGTGATACGCCCACAGAGGAAGAGAACAGTGATCACGTGACATGTTCAAATGGGCAAACCTCTAAATTTAGAGACATCAGTTAAAACCGTTACAAAGAGTTAATGCTGATTAGGGTAGTTTATTAGAATATAATATGTCCTCATTAAAGTTCAGCAATATGGAACAGTTAAAGTTATCAATCATTCTGTCAAATTCTCCCTTTCTGCAAAACACAATGTTTCACTAAATGAGTAAATGCAACCTTGCCTGCAACGTTGATACGTTGTAATTGGTCAGGACATGTCCTTATCATATCTGTATCAAATCTGTATCAAATCTGTATCAAATCTGTATCAAATCTGTATCAAATCTGTATCATGTATGTTATGTGGAAGTAAAGTGCATCTGGCTCACTTTATCAATTATACTGTTATAGCGGACAAGGCTTAACAACTTCACTGGTACAGGCAGAGTATTGGTTACTTAAACTCTAACAAAGTTGCTAAAGAGTTATTAAAGAGTTACTAAACATATTTATCTGAACCAAAGTGAGCACCAACTAGATATTGATGAGTGTAATTACTAGTCTTTGATATAGAGCTCTAAGTGAGTAGTACTAGTAGTTAGTGCCCAGAGTGTGCCCTGCACAGTGTACAGTACTAGTAGTTAGTGCCCAGAGTGTGCCCTGCAAAGTGTACAGTACTAGTAGTTAGTGCCCAGAGTGTGCACAGTGTACAGTACTAGTAGTTAGTAAGTCACAATGACTTAGTTTACTCAGATCAGAATGACTCAGTTCACTAAGAACACAATGACTCAGTTTACTCAGATCATAATGACTCAGTTCAACAAGATCAGCATGACTTAGTTTACTCAGATCTGAATGACTCAGTTCACTAAGAACACAATGACTCAGTTTACTCAGATCATAATGACTCAGTTTACTCAGATCATAATATGACTATTTTTCTCTGACGTCACCACTTTATATTTACTCTCGTTACACGATCAGATTTGACTTTTGAGCGCAATTACAGCCAGAATCCCAACCTAATCGCTATATTTAAATTAGAGCCAGTTGTCATACTACGATATTATTTTGTAGGTTATCCAACTTACTACTTATTACTTACTAGAACTAGTATAGTAGTATCCGGTAGAAAACAGAACATTATAATTATCTAATCTCTTTTGTAAATAAAACTGAAGCTTAGTTTTTCAAAATTAGGCTCCAAAACGACAGTTATTCTTCTTCCAAAACAGTTAAATATCTTCAGATAGAGCTCTCAAACCGCGCGGTGTACAGATCTTCATCTTCATAACTACATAACTGCTTAAAAGAATGATCCGTTTATTCAAGCAATTACTCTCCAGTGCTAGTCTAAGAGATGATCTCGTATTTGAGGGAAGTACATGTATGGAATACCAAATACCAGACGTTTATTAATTAGTTTATCAGTTATAATATAATACTCCAGTAGCATGGGGAGGAGTTGTACTGGAGTCATACACTTACTGAAACTACTACACACTAACGACCACCACAAGTCTGGTAACATACACTATACAGTACACTGCAATGTACACTCTATACACTATACATTGTGTATCGTGTACACGGAAAGCTCTTTAATCTTTATACCCCAAAATAAAGTAAGAGGATTAAAATGGGGGCTTGGGTACAGGGATGGGTGCAAGGACGCAGGGTCGGGGATAACATGTAGGTTATAATATTAGGTAATGATCGGTAAAATATAATGTGAGACCCGATCATATAGGACTACCGTACACGGTATACACTATACATTGACAGTATTGGTATAGTACCTACTTAGTACTATACAATAGTATAGAGTAGTACACATTTGATAGTTAATACTGATACATCCGGTACATATTATGATCTATTATCTATCTCTGTAAAGTATCATGATAATATCAAGACAATGCGAGTCATTGCTCCACTTCCACACGTGTTACATTACATCTTGTAATGTAATATTCTATATTTAGTACCGTCTATTTATAATGTACCGGGTACACTGCACTCAAATAGTCTATCTTATATTTCATAGCACATACATATGTAGTTCGTATGTGTTTACAGTATCAAGTATGTATCGCTATATCATAACATGTCAAACAAACTTAATTAATCCTCATTTAAGTATTTATTTTAATGTAAGCATATTATAATGACCAATAATAGAATCTGAGTCAATCTGTGTTGGTATGAGTTGTGTGTAGTTTGTGTGTAGTTTGTGTGTAGTTTGTGTGCAGTTTGTGTGTAGTTTGTGTGTAGTTTGTGTGTAGTTTGTGTGCAGTTTGTGTGTAGTTTGTGTGTAGTTTGTGTGTAGTTTGTGTGTAGTTTGTGTGTAGTTTGTGTGTAGTTTCTATTATAGACTACAAATGTGTGGTAGACTTCAAATGAACGTGATCTTCGAATCAATTACGAGATTAGCCACGTAAACCGGAAATGCACAATCTTATATTGAATTACATTTAAGTTTTAAATAGTGCCTGGTATGGGATTTGGTAAATTTTTAGCTCAATGAATACGGACAGGAATAAACACCCGAGTGAAATGTGTTCGGAATTGTGAAATGTGTACAGTGAAATGGTAGTGAAATGTTATTGAAATGTAAGTGAAATGTAAGGGGAGGTAAGTAATAAGATGCGTAATACGAGCAGTATGAACTTACACTCAGTAACATTGTATCAAATATAGTATATATTTATATAATATAGTGTAGGTATATCAATGGATCTTTTTTACAGGATGAAGTTAAGACAAATAGATATAAAATTATTTCAAAAGTACATCAGCTACCATACCCCAGACTTTTGAAACCGGAACACTCTGAACTAAGCACAGGTATGATCTGGATTACTTCACAGTCAAGTGTTAATGTCAGTGCATGTCTGCTATTTCATATGGCATTTAAGATATGTACTCCAAAGTTCGACCTTGTTTACGGTAAAATGTCATACATAAAGACAGAGGAGTACACGAGTGGTCTGTTTCTTAGGAATTCTCTTATTCGTGGCTAGTTTACTCGAGTTACTCGTCCGCCAAAGTGGACTAAAAGTACGTTACTCTGAGCTTTCCCAGATGAACAGAGTACAAATTACACAGAATTCTGTCACGTGACCATGTCTGTGTAGATGGTAGATATTCTGTTATTTTCTTTTTTACATCACGATTTTCTTATTCTTCACAAATACAATACAACATATTATATACCTAATGCATGCTGTGGTAACGTATGGTAAAATATTGCCAAGAATGTTTGTTATTTTACAATTCAAAAAGTCCAGAAACTCACCGAAATCTGCGAGTTTGAGTTCTCCTTTTTCGTTGATCAGAATGTTCTGTGGTTTAAGATCCCTGAAATTTAAACAAGTTTAAAAAGGTTTGTACGCCAAATGGTGAAATATTGCTCGCTGTAAATCCTTTATCATCATTCATCCACCCGGATGTTTAATATTTGAGTAGACGGAAATTATCATAACATTTACTTAGGATACCACATATTTCACAACATATTTAATTCAGAAATTGAACGGTTAGACATAAGGAAACACTCAAAGAGTTTTATTTTCACGATTTTAAATATCTCAGGCCGGTAAATTACATTGCGCATTCTGATCCTAAAATGATCCAAGTACCATTCAGAAAGTGATACAAAGAGAATTCTACACATTTAACATTGTCTGTTTTCCATTGATGTTTGATTAGTTAAGAAATCCAGGGTGCTGGGCGTTATCATCTGGAATACCTAGAACAATAGAACACATTGCCACGTGTGTTTATGTGAATGTGGTTATGGTAGCCGACACACAATGTACCTGTGTAATATCTTCTTGTTGTGGCAATAGTGCAGTCCCCTCAGTAGTTGAAACAAAAACAGCTGAAATTATACTTTTTAAACATTATACGTTTTAAACATGCCAAAAATGATATTTAAATCTACTATCTAGTAATGATGGAGAAAAATAAAGTTGATATTAATGAAATCTCATTTAATCAACATTAAGTTAAAAACGTTACCTTAACAACTTTAGGCTTAAGTCCATTCTGTTGTAGCTCCATGTATTGACCTAAATCTGTTGACTGAAATAAAGCAGCGATTATCAATTTGTTGATAATTAATTCTACCCGTAATTGTTAGAAAATGGTGAGTATAGTGTGCCTTATAATAGTGTGAAGGGATTTCAGGGACCACATCATTGGACAGATTGGAGGCAGGATTGGGATGGGAACATGGCGGGAACTTAAACTTAATCCCTGTTAAAACTCTAACCTTCTAACCTAATCAACAATTTACCCTAAACATATCCCTATCAGTACCACGACCCAAAAAGTCTAAAAATAAGTTTTATTTCAATTCCTCCGACCTGGGAAACAATACAATGAAGTGAGGTAATCTGTAGACTGTAGAGGGACATAACATAGCTACCTCACTTTTACTACCTGCTAGTACTGGCTCCTACCCCAGTAATGGGGTAGACAGACAGTATGTACTGGATATCTTCCTTTACCTGGCAAAGTCCCGGCTCCGAGGTGTGAGATGTAAACGGCGGGAAGGGATGTAAATGTGGTAATACTGCATAATGCGTGTTGTTATAATATACTTATACAGCTCTACAAACATTACTTCCTACACACCAAGCCCCTTTTACGTTCTAGTGTTGGTTTCACAGTAACTTCACACGTGTGACCAGTCAGAGAGCTTTCTAGCACTGCTGGTACGCGACGGTGCATGAAGTACATTAAGGGTAGTACTTGTACGGTGTTAAGTAAGGCAGCCAGGTGGAAAAAAAAGCAGGTGACCGAGTATTTCTAGTCAGGTATTTGGTCTATAAAGTACAAAGTATTTTGTCTAGTTTGGATGTGACCTATCTTCAAGATCTAATTCTTATTCGATCACGACCCGAAAAAAACTTTTAACGGACGTAAAATAAATAATAACTTTAGACTACTTGAATATTAATTAATATTGTAAAGTTGGTGACCTGGGAATCAGTGAGATGTTTTGAATAAACTATTAATAAATTAATGTAATCGTATTGGCATTATAGAGAATCTGAAGGAAGCGGTGAAAGCTATTTATGTTATCAATAATAATGTAGACAGTGAAGTGAGATGAAGCCTGAGGTGAAGTGAGATGAAGCCTTACTAAGTGCAGTTACTTGCAGTTACTTTATGTAAGGATTGCTTAATATTGTTAACAAATTTGCTTAGTTGCCGATCACATCTTCAACTATAAAGTTAGTTAATCAAAGAAAACTTACATTTGTTTTGGTAGACTATTTACTATTAAGCGGAGGCACTGTAATTTACTTAACAACAGATAATAACTGCCGAGCTTGTTAGATGATACAGTAAGGATATGTATAGGATATAATATATAGGATATAGTATTACATCACTGCTTAGCAACTTTTATATCTTTTTGATCTAGAAATTACCTTTTCATTAATCATACTGCTAAGAGAAATACTTGGCAACTTTTCAGATGTACTGATACTGGTATAATTTTCTTACGTACATTGTACAGTGTAGTACAGTACAGTACAAGAATCAGGAAACAGTTTAACAGATAACGTGAACATGAAATTGAATTATCAATTTGAACATAACATTTCAGAGATAGATAAAGAGATACAGGCAGGAAACCAACCGTAACAATAACATCCACACTGCTGAAACCGCAGGACAAAGCCGATACATTTCTTAATAGGTTAATTAATTTATAGATAACCAATTTACAGTTTCTTAACAAATTTCGAACATTTGTAGTTGATCGTATGAGCACTAATTAATTGTTGTGTACAGGGAAATTTAGATGATACTTAGGATGGTGATACACATGGCAAAGGTATAAATGAAGATGATTCTCCATTTATTAAACGTAACCCTGTACCCAGACAACCTCCGGGCAGAATGGATGTAAAGGAATTTGGGTGAGGGCCAGTATGGGCAGGCAATTGGGGAAGTACAAACATCTTGAGGCCGATAATACGTTGGAGAAGGTTATAGGGCCAAATGGAGAACATTTTTTTGAACATTTAAAATATAATTCGAGAGAGATGACCGGGTCACTTGTATTCACGTGAAATGTGCAAACCTGTGATTTTTTAAATCCAAAAATGTGCAAGCCTCTTGATTTAAAACATTTAACACATGTAACCTCAGGCTCAAAACCTGATTACCGTCTGTTCCTCCAACAATAACCACATATTACCAGTTACCACATATCCTCCACTTACCACATATTACCACATATTACCACATATTTAATATTACCACATATATTGCCACATATTACCACATATCCTCCACTTACCACATATTACCACATATTTAATATTACCACATATATTGCCACATATTACCACATATTTAATATTACCACATATATTGCCATATATTGCCACATATTACCAAATATTACCACATATTACCACATATTGCCACATATTTAATATTACCACATATATTGCCACATATTACCACATATTGCCACATATTTAATATTACCACATATATTGCCACATATTACCACATATTTAATATTACCACATATATTGCCACATATTACCACATATTGCCACATATTTAATATTACCACATATAATATTGCCACATATTACCACATATTACCACATATTGCCACATATTTAATATTACCACACAGTGAAAGCAGTATTAATGACATTCTCACTTTTCAGAACTAAGTGCCTAATATAATTAAGATATAACATCTGAACAGTTTTATTCCTGTTCCATATGATCGAGGATAGTCAGGGCTACAAAACCTGACCAAGTTTAGCTCAATCCAGTACTGCGCGTTCGAGATATGAGGTTAAATATACCAAAAATAGGGGTTTTCTGGTGTGACATCATTGTAAATTTTTTGGAGTATAACCTCAATATCTCACAAACTAAGAATTTGTGGTCTTTCTGAGTTACACTATCTGTTTCCTCTGGCAATTTCGGTTCAGAGTCAATTAAGTTTGAAACAAAATCTCAGTAAATGTGAAAGTTCTGAGGATGTCAAGTTTGTAACAAGCGCGCGCGCGCGCGCGCACACACACATATGACCTCATATCTTCCACATTTAATGATTTTTCATGGAAATTCTTTCACCATCTTGTAGCACTCATGTGCTGAGTAGGATAGCATCCTAATCATGTCTTTAAAAGCTTTAGATAGATACTGAGGAAGAAAATTCATGCTTGTAACAAGCGCGCGCGCGCGCATGGCCCATACTATATGATCAATGGACGGGAGGATTAAAGTACTTTCATACACACCAGCATGCTCATTGATGGCTTAAAATGAAGCTAAGACATACTCCTATCAGATCCACCATAAGTTAGATACCATAATAATCATTAAATGTGTCTAAAATGAGGAAGCTTTGACAAGTGCGAGTGGTTTTGGCAAATTTTGGTATAAAATGGGCCCTGAGATCATATTTTTAACATTAAAATCACATATATCACGTATATTTATGTGTGTTGGGTGTATCCTCATTGGTATCAACCATTTCAATCATCAAGAGCAGCTTTCCTGATTCTTTATCTCATGAAAATGGGCAAAAAAGCTCATAAATAGTCCAAAACCGGTCATTTTCGCTGCTTTAATAACCTCATTCCTGGCACCCAGAACACTTTGGGTACTCAAAACATAATTTTTCGGATACCTCAGACCCCTAACTAGCACATGGAGCCAGAAAGAACAGCATGTAGAGACTTTTAAATTTCCATGGTTGAGAACCCAATGTCACACTATTCGTTCATTAATCCTGCTTTCACTGCACATATATAATATTGCCACATATTACCACATATTACCACATATTGCCACATATTTAATATTACCACATATATTGCCACATATTACCACATATTGCCACATATTACCACATATTGCCACATATTTAATATTACCACATATAATATTGCCACATATTACCACATATTCTCCACTTACCACTTTTTACCACATAATATTATCACTTATTATCCACTTACCACATATTCGAAGACGAGAGTAAGCATTCTCTTGGTGTGTATTATATCGTGTAGAACAACTATATTCGCGTGCTTCAACTCCTTCAACAATGACGCTGAAATATTAGTGTGTTACGTGACATTCCTCCCATTCACCAGAATCACATTTTTCTTGACAGCCTGACACATATTTCTCAAACTAAGGTATAGTCTAAAGTATGTGCAGAACTGAAATACCTTCAACTATTAGCCATACTTTATCATATAATGCACGTGTATAATACGTGTATATAATATATAACGTGCCTGATTGCAATTAATCGGAACCGTGTCTGAGAACCATTTCTCAGAGTTTTTCTGGACAACAGAGATAAATACAGTGATAACACGTGTAAATACAGTGATAACACGTGTAAATACAGTGATAACACGTGTAAATACAGTGATACCACGTGTAAATACAGTGATAACACGTGTAAATACAGTGATAACACGTGTAAATACAGTGATAACTCGAGAGACTGTGGGATACTGAAGGGAAAGGAAGCAGTTCTAACGAGCTCTTCTCAAACACAAGGATATAACTTGTAAACTCGGCTAGTATATATGAAACATTTGTCATGGAGTTGTAGAGGGAGTTATGTGCCTCGCCGGGCTAAAGTAGTGGATGACCTTGCTGTACGGCAAGTTAAACAAGGATCTGAAACTACTAGGTTCCGTACAGACTCAACTCTGCACCCGTGTCAATATGTTCATTATATGCAAGCCTCTTGATTTATAATCACCGAGTCTAGTAATTGTTTAAGAGAGTTCTCTGGCAGTTACGAAACTCGAGAGACTGTGGGATACTGAAGGGAAAGGAAGCAGTTCTAACGAGCTCTTCTCAAACACAAGGATATAACTTGTAAACTCGGCTAGTATATATGAAACATTTGTCATGGAGTTGTAGAGGGAGTTATGTGCCTCGCCGGGCTAAAGTAGTGGATGACCTTGCTGTACGGCAAGTTAAACAAGGATCTGAAACTACTAGGTTCCGTACAGACTCAACTCTGCACCCGTGTCAATATGTTCATTATATGCAAGCCTCTTGATTTATAACACGTGTAAATACAGTGATAACACGTGTAAATACAGTGATAACACGTGTAAATACAGTGATAACACGTGTAAATACAGTGATAACACGTGTAAATACAGTGATAACACGTGTAAATACAGTGATAACACGTGAACATCCCCTCCCTACGTTTAGTAACTCTACACCTCCACTTAGTTCACTACCAAGCTACCACCACTATCTGACGGCAAACTGGAGAGGGAGACTCAGGATCTGATATAGCTGTTATTATACTGAGAGAGAGCACCTGTGAAGATGCTCCTCTCAGAGGTGGAGTTTGATGGACGATCCTCGCTGAAGGTAGGGTGGCATTTGACCCTGAACTTAGGGCGGCAGTGATACCCCAGCTGCTGAATGTAGTGATATTACAGAAGGAATTAATTTAATGTAGTTTGAGGAGTCCTCACTCTCCTCACGTCCAACAATGGCATTTCTCTTGTCACTAATATAAAGCAGCTGCTAAGTGAGGGTCTCTATAATAGTCGCCCTGCTAGGACAGGTGTGATATCTGTTGAGGTGGGGACGTTTAACGGCACCTGATCGTTTAACCTTGATATCTTAGCTGGCAGTTTGCCTAAAAAGTGGGAGCCAGCAATAGGTTGTGTCTAATTTGAACATTAATTGGTACACGTCTGGATAAATTAGATTGATTGGATAAAGTATATTAATGTGATAGAGGACCGGTATCACCTCTAATGTGTCACAAAAACAATAAGGTATTTATACATTAGCTCCGTCGCTGTGGCTGGGTAGATGGATGGTTTCTAGTTCAATGGAAGTATAGTTGAATTCCAATTCTTTTAAGTTGAAAATTATTTAAGTTTGGATCTGATCAGACCTTTAAATCATGTGGGGTATTTGTACCCTAAATTGTGAAATTATGTGAGTTACGACAAAGAATCGGAGATCGTTATAAATGCTGCAATTTGGTTTTTAAAAGCCTGACTCGCCATGACATAATTCAGCACTTAAAAGCGAATATTCTAAATAGTTTAAATATTGCACGTGCGTTCAAAGGTTAGGAACGATCCTATTCGAACATTGAAAAGTAAAGTTCAAAAAACGGTAAAATGACTAAACGGCTAAAACCACACGAAATACAAGCGCTGAGATTAAAGCTGCGATGACTTCAAAGTCAAGTCACTTGGATTTGGATAAATAGTTTGGAAAGGAGCAAGGAACAGATGATGTAACTCATTTAGGGAACCCGTAAAAGGTATCTTTACTATACATCACCTCAGGAGGATCCATTTAAAACAAGAATGCCAAAAACCATTATCTGCAAATATAACTATAATCTATGATAGGTCATAAGGTCCCGGCGTACAGATTGGCAGTTGAATAGCATGGATCACATGACCATCGGAATCATGTCTCAAGCTAAAACATCTGATCCGTTTATCTCATCATCTGCCAGTATTTATAATTTTAGAACTAACCTTCTCTGATGGCAGTAAAAGGTGTGCCTTCCTCCTCACTTCTGGTAATCTCTTTCAGCGCAACTACCGTCCCTGTTATACTGAAATATTACACGGGTCAGGTTCTGTAGCACGTGTAGCACGTGAAACTTAGGGCGGCAGTTATACCCAGTCTGTAACTGATCAGTGAAGTAGTTACAGAAGGAATATATATTTAAATTAGTTGCCAGTCCTCCCAGGTCGCCCAACAATGGCATTTCTCGTATAATATAAACATCTCGCTAAGTGAGGTCTCATATTGATAGTCGCCCTGCTAGACAGTGTGATATCTGTTGAGGCTGGGGACGTTTAAGGCACCTGATCGTTTAACCTTGATATCTTAGCTGACGTTTCCTAAAATATGGGAGCCAGCAATAGGTTGTGCTAATTTGAACATTATTGTCTGTCACGTCTGATAAATTAGATTGATTGTATAAGTATATTAATTGATAGAGGATCCCGGTATCACTCTAATGTGTCACAAAACAATAGGTATTTATACATTACTCCGTCGCTGTGGCTGTAATGGATGTTTACTTTATTCAACTGAAGTATACTTAATTCCAATTCTTTAAGTTGAAAACTATTTAAGTGTGATCTGATCAACCTTTAAATCATGTGGGGTATTTGTACCCTAAATTGTGAAATTATGTGAGTTACGACAAAGAATCGGAGATCGTTATAAATGCTGCAATTTGGTTTTTAAAGCCTGACTCGCCATGACATAATTCAGCACTTAAAAGCGAATATTCTAAATAGTTTAAATATTGCACGTGCGTTCAAAGGTTAGGAACGATCCTATTCGAACATTGAAAGGTCTCAAGTAAAGTTCAAAAAACGGTAAAATGACTAAACGGCTAAAACCACACGAAATACAAGCGCTGAGATTAAAGCTGCGATGACTTCAAAGTCAAGTCACTTGGATTTGGATAAATAGTTTGGAAAGGAGCAAGGAACAGATGATGTAACTCATTTAGGGAACCCGTAAAAGGTATCTTTACTATACATCACCTCAGGAGGATCCATTTAAAACAAGAATGCCAAAAACCATTATCTGCAAATATAACTATAATCTATGATAGGTCATAAGGTCCCCGGCGTACAGATTGGCAGTTGAATAGCATGGATCACATGACCATCGGAATCATGTGCACGGATCACGTGATAATTGCAAATAAAACGGTTAGTATGACGTGATTTTGTGAGTGCTATAATTATCTTACAAAAAAGGATCGTATTTACTAAATTTATCCTCTGGTGAACCTTGTTAAAAAGGTTATTACAAAACTTATTATACATAATAATATATATTATATTTACAATTATGTTTACTGGCAGTGAAGCAGTAGTTTAACGTCAACACGTCACACGTGCCAAGGTTACAGTGCGTTAAACACGTCCCAGCTACTTTTCTAAGGATTTCCAGCTTGTCCCAGCACTTCCAGAAAGGGATTGTCAACCCTTCAACCGTGAACTATTACTCGGGACCAACTTCTCGCTATGTCTATATTTGGTGAGTGATTTGTAGAGTGATATTCTTGACATTTCACATTTCGGTTAAAGTAACGTATACCTGAGAGGTACAGGTGGTACAGTGAGCATTCCAATGGTGGAATCTATCAGCACTGTTACAAATATTCGACAGATCAAGCTGAACTTGCCCAGTCACAACATGCCTATTGCCTTGTCAGATTATATAATATATATTATTACCCGTATTTTGAGTCATGAGCTCAGTTTGTTTCCACAGATGTGTGACCTAAGGGTAATGTCAACAGATTGACAAACAGTTGAAACTGTTCACTACTACTACTACTACTGTTCACTGTTACAACTACTACTGTTCACTACTACTACTACTGTTCACTACTACTACTACTACTGTTCACTACTACTACTACTACTGTTCACTACTACTACTACTACTGTTCACTACTACTACTACTACTGTTCACTACTACTACTACTACTACTGTTCACTACTACTACTACTACTGTTCACTACTACTACTGTTCACTACTACTACTACTGTTCACTGTTACTACTACTACTGTTCACTACTACTACTACTGTTCACTGTTACTACTACTACTGCACTGTTCACTACTACTACTACTGTTCACTACTACTACTACTACTGTTCACTACTACTACTACTGTTCACTACTACTACTACTACTGTTCACTACTACTACTACTACTACTGTTCACTACTACTACTACTACTGTTCACTACTACTACTACTACTGTTCACTGTTGAGTTATTAAAACTTTTGAAATTGTAAATGCTGAACGGTACGACTATCGATCTGTGGAACGAATCTTGGGTGGACACAGTTTGGGATGGTCACTACTTGACCGTATCAGTATGTGACCGAATAAATGCAGTAAAACTTCTGCTACATACCTTACACTTAACACTTGCAGCTGCCTGTCTTACACTGTGTACCTTGAAGGTGGGTGTTATAAAACCACCACATTCCAGTACATCCCACCCAATAGTATAGATCTGTATTAATGGACGCTTACATTGTCATTAGAATGGCTTATTTTACTATTCCTAATATTGCTTATGTAATTCCAGGGGGCAGGATCATACCAAATATTATTCCGAGAAGCTTTTAATCAACTTTCAGGGTCAATATATCATGGCAACGTGTGACTAATAATAGGTATTGTATTCGTGATATTATGGATAGTAAATATATGTCCTTTGTAAGTTCGCATTTTTATTATTATTGCATAACATAAGTAGGTTAACAAAGGCATGACCTCTATTTCTTTTTATAGCTTTTCTTGCTGTCATATTATTATAACGTTAAAAGTATTACATGACAATTGACAAGTATTGAAACAAAGAATTGGTCGATCACAGACCAGAAGGGATCACGAATTTATTTTGTACAATTATTCTGTAAAAGATTTTTGTTCGAAATCTAGAAGAGGTTGGCAATTGACAAACTTACCTGCCTACCTGCCTGGCTTACTATTTTACTATTTACTATAAAATCTTTTAAAGATTGACGTGGCTGAATGTTGAATGGTCTAGGGAAGAGAAGTGTTTTATGTAATTGATATTCCAGCTATTCCATATACCAGATGTTAAGGTTACTCTACTGCTATTCCAGCTAATACAGCTATTTATATACCAGATGTTAAGGTTACTCTACTGCTATTCCAGCTAATACAGCTATTTATATACCAGATGTTAAGGTTACTCTACTGCTATTCCAGCTAATACAGCTATTTATATACCAGATGTTAAGGTTACTCTACTGCTATTCCAGCTAATACAGCTATTTATATACCAGATGTTAAGGTTACTCTACTGCTATTCCAGCTAATACAGCTATTTATATACCAGATGTTAAGGTTACTCTACTGCTATTCCAGCTAATACAGCTATTCATATACCAGATGTTAAGGTTACTCTACTGCTATTCCAGCTAATACAGCTATTTATATACCAGATGTTAAGGTTACTCTACTGCTATTCCAGCTAATACAGCTATTCATATACCAGATGTTAAGGTTACTCTACTGCTATTCCAGCTAATACAGCTATTTATATACCAGATGTTAAGGTTACTCTACTGCTATTCCAGCTAATACAGCTATTCATATACCAGATGTTAAGGTTACTCTACTGCTATTCCAGCTAATACAGCTATTCATATACCAGATGTTAAGGTTACTCTACTGCTATTCCAGCTAATACAGCTATTCATATACCAGATGTTAAGGTTACTCTACTGCTATTCCAGCTAATACAGCTATTCATATACCAGATGTTAAGGTTACTCTACTGCTATTCCAGCTAATACAGCTATTCATATACCAGATGTTAAGGTTACTCTACTGCTATTCCAGCTAATACAGCTATTCATATACCAGATGTTAAGGTTACTCTACTGCTATTCCAGCTAATACAGCTATTCATATACCAGATGTTAAGGTTACTCTACTGCTATTCCAGCTAATACAGCTATTCATATACCAGATGTTAAGGTTACTCTACTGCTATTCCAGCTAATACAGCTATTCATATACCAGATGTTAAGGTTACTCTACTGCTATTCCAGCTAATACAGCTATTCATATACCAGATGTTAAGGTTACTCTACTGCTATTCCAGCTAATACAGCTATTCATATACCAGATGTTAAGGTTACTCTACTGCTATTCCAGCTAATACAGCTATTCATATACCAGATGTTAAGGTTACTCTACTGCTATTCCAGCTAATACAGCTATTCATATACCAGATGTTAAGGTTACTCTACTGCTATTCCAGCTAATACAGCTATTCATATACCAGATGTTAAGGTTACTCTACTGCTATTCCAGCTATTCATATACCAGATGTTAAGGTTACTCTACTGATATTCCAGCTATTCATATACCAGATGTTAAGGTTACTCTACTGCTATTCCAGCTAATACAGCTATTCATATACCAGATGTTAAGGTTACTCTACTGCTATTCCAGCTAATACAGCTATTCATATACCAGATGTTAAGGTTACTCTACTGCTATTCCAGCTAATACAGCTATTCCATATACCAGATGTTAAGGTTACTCTACTGCTATTCCAGCTAATACAGCTATTCATATACCAGATGTTAAGGTTACTCTACTGCTATTCCAGCTAATACAGCTATTCCATATACCAGATGTTAAGGTTACTCTACTGCTATTCCAGCTAATACAGCTATTCATATACCAGATGTTAAGGTTACTCTACTGCTATTCCAGCTAATACAGCTATTCATATACCAGATGTTAAGGTTACTCTACTGCTATTCCAGCTAATACAGCTATTCCATATACCAGATGTTAAGGTTACTCTACTGCTATTCCAGCTAATACAGCTATTCATATACCAGATGTTAAGGTTACTCTACTGCTATTCCAGCTAATACAGCTATTCATATACCAGATGTTAAGGTTACTCTACTGCTATTCCAGCTAATACAGCTATTCATATACCAGATGTTAAGGTTACTCTACTGCTATTCCAGCTAATACAGCTATTCATATACCAGATGTTAAGGTTACTCTACTGCTATTCCAGCTAATACAGCTATTCATATACCAGATGTTAAGGTTACTCTACTGCTATTCCAGCTAATACAGCTATTCATATACCAGATGTTAAGGTTACTCTACTGCTATTCCAGCTATTCCATATACCAGATGTTAAGGTTACTCTACTGCTATTCCAGCTAATACAGCTATTCATATACCAGATGTTAAGGTTACTCTACTGCTATTCCAGCTAATACAGCTATTCATATACCAGATGTTAAGGTTACTCTACTGCTATTCCAGCTAATACAGCTATTCATATACCAGATGTTAAGGTTACTCTACTGCTATTCCAGCTAATACAGCTATTCATATACCAGATGTTAAGGTTACTCTACTGCTATTCCAGCTATTCCAGCTATTCATATACCAGATGTTAAGGTTACTCTACTGCTATTCCAGCTAATACAGCTATTCATATACCAGATGTTAAGGTTACTCTACTGCTATTCCAGCTAATACAGCTATTCATATACCAGATGTTAAGGTTACTCTACTGCTATTCCAGCTAATACAGCTATTTATATACCAGATGTTAAGGTTATTCTACTGCTATTCCAGCTAATACAGCTATTTATATACCAGATGTTAAGGTTACTCTACTGCTATTCCAGCTATTCCAGCTATTCATATACCAGATGTTAAGGTTACTCTACTGCTATTCCAGCTAATACAGCTATTCATATACCAGATGTTAAGGTTACTCTACTGCTATTCCAGCTAATACAGCTATTCATATACCAGATGTTAAGGTTACTCTACTGCTATTCCAGCTAATACAGCTATTCATATACCAGATGTTAAGGTTACTCTACTGCTATTCCAGCTAATACAGCTATTCATATATACCAGATGTTAAGGTTACTCTACTGCTATTCCAGCTAATACAGCTATTCATATACCAGATGTTAAGGTTACTCTACTGCTATTCCAGCTAATACAGCTATTCATATACCAGATGTTAAGGTTACTCTACTGCTATTCCAGCTATTACAGCTATTCATATACCAGATGTTAAGGTTACTCTACTGCTATTCCAGCTAATACAGCTATTCATATACCAGATGTTAAGGTTACTCTACTGCTATTCCAGCTAATACAGCTATTCCATATACCAGATGTTAAGGTTACTCTACTGCTATTCCAGCTAATACAGCTATTCATATACCAGATGTTAAGGTTACTCTACTGCTATTCCAGCTAATACAGCTATTCATATACCAGATGTTAAGGTTACTCTACTGCTATTCCAGCTAATACAGCTATTCATATACCAGATGTTAAGGTTACTCTACTGCTATTCCAGCTATTCCAGCTATTTATATACCAGATGTTAAGGTTACTCTACTGCTATTCCAGCTAATACAGCTATTCATATACCAGATGTTAAGGTTACTCTACTGCTATTCCAGCTAATACAGCTATTCATATACCAGATGTTAAGGTTACTCTACTGCTATTCCAGCTAATACAGCTATTCATATACCAGATGTTAAGGTTACTCTACTGCTATTCCAGCTATTCCAGCTATTTATATACCAGATGTTAAGGTTACTCTACTGCTATTCCAGCTATTACAGCTATTCATATACCAGATGTTAAGGTTACTCTACTGCTATTCCAGCTAATACAGCTATTCATATACCAGATGTTAAGGTTACTCTACTGCTATTCCAGCTAATACAGCTATTCCATATACCAGATGTTAAGGTTACTCTACTGCTATTCCAGCTAATACAGCTATTCATATACCAGATGTTAAGGTTACTCTACTGCTATTCCAGCTAATACAGCTATTCATATACCAGATGTTAAGGTTACTCTACTGCTATTCCAGCTAATACAGCTATTCATATACCAGATGTTAAGGTTACTCTACTGCTATTCCAGCTAATACAGCTATTCATATACCAGATGTTAAGGTTACTCTACTGCTATTCCAGCTAATACAGCTATTCATATACCAGATGTTAAGGTTACTCTACTGCTATTCCAGCTAATACAGCTATTCATATACCAGATGTTAAGGTTACTCTACTGCTATTCCAGCTAATACAGCTATTCATATACCAGATGTTAAGGTTACTCTACTGCTATTCAGGTTTTGTGAATGGCATTTCATTATGTATTTAAATTGGTTGTAATAGTGATCTGTCATTTAAAATACACTTGAACAAGGCACAAGGTACCATATGATAGTCTAATAGTGCTTCTAGCAAAGCTGTAAGTTGTTTCTGCTGGAACACATCTCAAACATAATCATTGTTTTTAGCCAGGTCGTCTATTTCAGCTCCAGGTTAGGTAGGAAAACCTTGACGTCACGTTGTTTTATTGTTCGGGCTGCAGATTGCAGAACTAGGCTGCAGATTGCAGAACTAGGCTGCAGATTGCAGAACTGGGCTGCAAATTGCAGAACAGCCCAGAACTCAAAACAATCTCCCCAACAATTTACGCAACAATTTATTCAGAGTCTGGATCAGACTTAATAATCGTATAATTACTCTGCAATTTAGTTGTTTAATACATACCCTGCAATTAAAGTAAGAGTGAGACAGAACAGTAGGCAGCAGCATTCTGGTCACGTGACAGAACAGTAGGCAGCAGCATTCTGGTCATGTGACAGAACAGTAGGCAGCAGCATTCTGGTCACGTGACAGCTCATGTTTACAACCCATTCTCCAGGTCAGTACAAACAGTGCCAGCCAGTCTAGACACTAAAAACTCTAATTCACTAATTTCCAAGCTCGGGATTATGCCGTGTGAGTTGCTTACTCTGTGCACGTAGGTTGTTCTGTGCACGTGGTTTGCACGTGGTTGTTTATCCCTAAGTGGTTCCTTACCTCGGATTACCTCCCCAATTTTACGACACCATACACTGATTTATGATATTTATTATGATGGGTACAACTACCTGTTTTAAAAGTGTAGAGGACCAGTTGCCCACTGTAAGTAAGACTCGATTGGCACCACCACACTAATGTAGTGTCTTTAAGCAGGAGTTTTAAATGGTTGAGTCACAGGGCTATTTTTAGCGGTTTGAGCTGTCTAAATATGATTAAATGCTATACAGACTAGAGCTGAGCTGCAACAGATGGTTATTCTAATCAAACGCTGCTCAATAAATGGACCGGAGTCTCTTAATTAGAAAATAGTGTTCAATAGGAACAATGAATAGGAAAAATGAATAGGAACAATGCACTGAATTGGAACACTCATTGACTTTGTCAAAGAATATCTACTAGAAAATGTGGTAGCTACCTGCAAGTGGTCATTAAAAGAGTCCTCCGAAGCTATTCGCATAAATTGCAATACCATAACTTAACAAGGAGAGTGCAGGGCTATGTCACGTCATAGGAGTGCAAGTGGTTTTCCGTTTTGTAAGGTCATGAGTTGATGAGTGAGCGTGCAAAGAATTGTAAGTGCTCGTCCACGTTTATTCATCAATGATTTAGAGGGATTGTGAGGTTTCTGTATATTTCAGATAATAATTGAGTAACTGAAATAAGGATTTGCTGACTATCAAGATACTGTAGAAATTTCAGCCTCTCTGAATTTATAAAATTTCAGTTTGCCAAATCTCCGGGACCAAGGATTATTTCCAATAACCGAAAAAGGTTCCTGACGTTAACACTGTTGGAAACACTGATATTTATTGGCCGAGACTCTGAAAATTATACTACTGAAGTCCTGTCAAAACATTCCGGACATTTCTCGCATACTACACCAGGTCCTGAAATATCTGGTTGAGTAGTTATTCTGGACTATAACAGTAGGGTACGATACGGTTATTACTTATTACGCTTATAATTATATAGGTACGTACAAATATGTAAATGACCATAAAATGGATGTACTAGTTACGGAATAAACGGATGAGTGTATTAGCTATAGATGTGGATTTTGGTGGGAGGCCGAGAAGAGGCGAAAGATATTTTTGACGTGATTCTGGGATTTGATTGTTCAATAGTGGATATTCATTGGCTAATTACTGTAATGTGTCAAAAAATGTGCTACACCTTTCCATCAGAAACCACATTATATATGAAGGCACCGAATGTACGGTGTACCCCATGATCGTAAATTCCACAGTAACTGGACAAATCATCGTGGCTGGGATATGAATATTAAAGGCATATATTTAAATGACATGCATGTATGATTTTATGAAGGTCAGGTCACGTTATGACGTCATGTACCTGGATATTCCCTTGTAAACTGTAGCGTAGGAACCTTCACCCAGAGCTTCTAGTTTTTTGTACGACTCCTTAGCCCCAAATCCTCCTCTGAAATTCTGAAAAATAATCAATGTTCAGACCATACTTAAGATAGACCATTTTATCAATCGAAGAGTCAGTGGAAAACGGTTCATTGACTGAGAGACCACTCTTGCAAGTTCCACAATCCACATGGTTTCGCAAATATTCGAATGAATTCACAGTACCTATCATAATCTGACGACAGAGTAATAAATGGGAGAGGATATACTGGAACTATTTTGGCAAGCATTCTTTATAAATACATATTTGAACGTAGGTACTGTCTGTAGCAAGCTAGTTGTGTTATTTCTATTCATTATTCCTATATATTTCTACATAATATTTCTACATATTTCTACGTACCGTTTGTAGCAGGCTGGTTGTGCTGTGTCTTCGTCCCATGGACCTGGGCGGTGGTGCGGGTTCTTCCGATTCTAACATACAATCTTGTGACTTGGTCCGAGAGTGATGTATCTTCTGGAGCGACTCTGAAGTGATGATGGTGAATATCAGCACATGTCTGTTGAATATCTTGATATCATCACGAGGTGAATATCTTGATATTATCACGAGGTGAATATCTTGATATTATCACGAGGTGAATATCTTGATATCATCACGAGGTGAATATCTTGATATTATCACGAGGTGAATATCTTGATATTATCACAAGACTAGGAGATACCATCGTGTTATTACTTTTGCCAATCACTATGATCATGATATTAGCCAGTATTTTCTTATAATATCTAAGAAATTTGATGGTATTTTACAGACGGAGGACAGTTCCAATTTAATCTGCTCCACCAGATTTGAGAAGCTTCTCATGAGATTATTGTATAGTGTTATAATATAATATGGTAGTGTAATGTTCATGTTCGTAGACTAGGTTGTGCTGCAGAAAAACAAGTTTTGCTGATCTATTCATGATTCAGAATCATTGAATTTAAGGTTATAAGATTGTGTGATAAATTGGTCGGTAGACATTCGCCACATATCTCATATCTATATCTCCTTTGAGTGGTGTAGTGATCATAACAAAGGATAGAGATTATTATACATAACTGTGCAATAACCGTCCGATTACCTCGGTCCTCGATATCAGAGCCAACAAATATACTGGACAACAAACGAGTAAAACATGATTAAAAAACGATCTAATAAATGGACTCGACCTAAACACTAAAAAAGGCTTAAACAGATTATCTACCTTATATCTCCAGACGTGATAAATCGTTTTTTGTACTGTGCTGTCGGCTAGAAGCTGACCTCTAGATCTATAAATCTATTAATAACTCCCCATTTATGAGTACTATATTGAGTTATTCTTAAGAGGGAGATTGGAGTGGTCTGAGTCGTGTCTTGGCTGTTTCTAATTAATTCGACTTGTACCATTTTAATAGCGCTAAAAGCAATTTTTCCAAATATAGTCAACCACACAGCTTGGCAAGTAATTAACGTGGCGTAGCTTTGAAATGTGCTATATATTGCTTTTATATTATTATATATCATCATTGTGGTGGTATCAAACTATTATATTCTAGTTTTGATATGGTGGTGGTATCAAACTATTATATTCTAGTTTTGATATGGTGGTGGTATCAAACTACTTTATATTCTAGTTTTGATATGGTGGTGGTATCAAACTATTATATTCTAGTTTTGATATGGTGGTGGTATCAAACTATTATATTCTAGTTTTGATATGGTGGTGGTATCAAACTATTAAATATTCTAGTATTTATATAATATTAAACTATTGCATTATTGTGCGTTACCCGACAAAATGAAATAATTTCACTTGTACGACTAATAGTCTAGTGTTGTAAAACTGCATTTATTATTTTAAATATTATATGGTCTGGTATCGAACCACTATACTAATCTAGAAAAGTGGCTTAAAAACAAAGCATTTCCGAAGAATTTGAGTTAATTGATCAAACCTGGCAACTGTGTAATGTGTATTGGATAGATCAAAGAACTAAAAAGTGCAACTTCGAGTATTGCGAATCCATATTTTATATTTAACATGAATATTTATTAACCCATACAAAGTCAAGCGCTATGAATTTTACTGAACTTTTTTAGGATGTATTTAATCGCTAGTAGACAACTAACTTGATATGAATCCCCGACTGCTAGGAATGAACTGAATTACTTTACTTAACTAGGGGTGGTATAATGTTTCCTGTTTCTGTTTATGAAGTCAAGCTAGAAATCCAATAAAACACTCAACACTCAACACTCAACAGATAGTTATCGTGCAAAGCAATGGTCACCCATCACTGTAATAAAAAACGAGTTGTGCAGCAACTTAAACCTGGCAATGCTTACTATCATATTTCAGGAGGTATTTCACTTTCAGCAGCGGAGAAATATACATATTATGACCTCCATATTAAATATAGATCGTATTACTCGAAGATTTTTACGAAATTCTGACGAAAATACTTACGTCTTCGATCGCGATCCTTAAAGGTCGGTGAGACAGTGGGAGAAAGCGTGCAACAAGCATAAAATAACATGATCAGTATTATTGAATTATATTAATATACTTAATAATATAACGTTCTATAATCTTACAGCAAACTTTGAGACTAACAAATTGTATGACCAATTGTAATCGTGCTTAGATCAAAGGCTTGAACTAAAACTTGATACAACTTCCTGTGATTGGCTAATCAATTATCTTTTTGTTTGATGAAGTGACTTATAACTGGTTATCTAATTTTAGATTATAAAGAATGCCTTAATTCATTATAGTAAGTAGAGAGTTCAGTAATAGTTAGTGGAAATTTAAGTATAGCATTTTATTAAATGATAATATTTAGGAGCATTAATTGCAATGGATATTAACTTATTTTGATTAAAACTTAATGACAAATTAATCAAATTAATTACATACCTAAACTGATAGCTTATCATTTGGATGGTGCTCTTAATTAAGGTCAATTAAGGTTTGTGAATGCTGGGCTTGTCAGGCCACTTAAAATTTTGGTATGACCTGATAAAAGCTAGGCTATAATACGTAATACTTTTGCCAGCAGTTCTAATGTGATTTCTAAGAAATTGACTTTATGATCGACTAAAAGCTTTCAATTTAATCATTTTGATGGCTCAAATTCAAGATAATTCTCTACGATATATGCATACAATTTGGCTGCATTGTAGACCGTGCACTGTGCAGTAATAAGAATGTAATAACGTTATTGCTTTGGAATGGAACACAAATCCTGTCTTTGATCAACCGTGATGCAAGTGGATACAAACATTTACAAGCTGACTTTTGGGTTTAAATTTTCACTGGGGTAGTACTGCTCGTGTTTCTAGCTGAGAATTCTTACTGTTGTGTACTACTGTTCTAGTCGCATTAGTGTTGCTGTGTATTGTACTGTGTTTAACAAATTCCTTGCCATCTCTCTCTCTCTCTCTCTCTCTCTCTCTCTCTCTCTCTCTCTCTCTCTCTCTCTCTCTCTCTCTCTCTCTCTCTCTCTCTCTCTCTCTCTCTCTCTCTCTCTCTCTCTCTCTCTCTCTCTCTCTCTCTCTCTCTCTCTCTCTCTCTCTCTCTCTCTCTCTCTCTCTCTCTCTCTCTCTCTCTCTCTCTCTCTCTCTCTCTCTTTCTCTCTCTCTTTCTCTCTCTCTCTCTCCCTCTCTCTCTCTCTCTCTCTCTCTCTCTCTCTCTCTCTCTCTCTATCTCTCTATCTCTCTCTCTCTTTTAAAAACCAGCTTAAACACAAAATCTGGCATTAAAGACATGATAACGATAGAAGAAAGATAGAGATAAACACGAATAAAAGAAGGAAGAAAGATAAATTACGTGTTTTACGATCGTCGAACACATAAGGAACGCCATCCCTCCCAAACTTATGATAGTTCACAAGGAGCACGTCATCCTCGTATATCCCCGCGCTGACACTCCGCCCCAGCTGAGTGTGGCCGTTATTCTTTGTGTTTGTCTTGAAATGTGAGAGACTGTTAGCTCGCCCTATTTTCTGGAGGCTGTGAGGGTGACTGAGACATTCAGAGGGCAGGGCAGCAATGTGCTCTCGACTCTCGTCTATCGTGTCTGACCTGGGTTTCCGTTCTGGGTTTCCGTCTCTGTCAGTGAGTTTTTGGGTGGAGGAATCCTTGTTTATGTATTCGTCATATTCCTTCTCCAGGTTAAAACATCTTATCAGAAACATGGTAGCGCCAAATTCTGGTGGAGCGGTTGAAAATGAGAGCTCTGTTCTTCTGTTAAATTGAACTTAAACCACTGTAAAATAAAACTGCTCGAGAATCAGACTGAAGTGGGAGATTCAGACTGAAGTAACAATTTTCTGAGGAAAAACGGGTCAAAGTAAGGATTCAACAAACTAGAGCACTCGACTAACGTGAGTACAACTATGCTCACGTAACTGTGTTGAACGTACAGCACATAGCAACTGACGCACTAGCATATATAGAGCTGTCAGGGCTGAGTGTGTGTATTTTTAGCCAATATATTCCTTGATAAGTTAATTCGGCGCTAGTCACGTGGGCTATCAGTACAATTTAGGTTGGTTCAGCCTGCTCCCCGACAGCTATTGGCATTTATATTGCAGACTACGTGAGCCCAGAATAAACCAGGGTCACGTGGTCACACCACGTGATATAATATCTAATATGTCCCACTTTATTCAGTTGGGGCAGGATTATCCGGATCTTCAGTTGGCGGATGAAGGTCTGCCACTTCCGGGCCGCTTCAGCCCAGTTTCAATTAATCAGGAGCATCCTGTCACATAATTGATCCACAGCTTTGCAGTGATTAATTAACCACTTTACATTGCGTGCCCGGCATGACAACTGTCAGTGGTATGTATCACATACGTAGAACGTTTTGGAGCTTGTTAATGTTGGCATAGGTTGTAGCCCTTGCTTAATATAAAGCAATACTTAATTAACGTGTGAACACTGAAAAGTTGGTCTATATTTAAACTGCGCCAATGAGATAGGTATCACATTATTACATAAACAGCTTATTTTGCCAACAAAACACGCCTATATGGCTGGCCTGATGTATAAAACTGACAGGGAATTCAGGTAACAATCGTGCATCAACAAGCTAGAAAAGTAGTAAAACATCCCTTTTTATAACTTTATCGATCGAGTAATTGGAAAAAGAAGTGTCCAGGGTCGAAATGCCAAATCGCTATCGCTAATGCAGTGCCAACACATCTCAGTGCGGTTAAGATATTGTAATTAAATAAATATAAAATCATCAGAACAGTAGTGACGTTGTTGACAAGAGTGACGGTGTCATATCTCGGACTACTTATCGAAACGAAGAAATGAAGACGGAGCACTAAGAGAACTAAGTCAACTAAGAGAACTAAGTCAACTAAGAGAACTAAGTCAACTAAGTCAACTAAGAGTGAAAACTATGAGAACTAAGTGTCAAATGAAGGTAGCTTCAGGTGGCACTGAGAGACCCCCAACAAACAAATCTATCATTAAAATTAAGCCACTATATTTTATAATCCTGATGGTTGAGCCCATGTGCACGAAGTATCGCCGTATAAGGAGGTTATAGTGAGAAGAAAACCGTGAGAAGACCAGGGAAAAATTCCTTAAATGGTGGTTTTGAAGTTGTTTTTCATTACCGTTGACTGGACAAAGTTTAGTTCATGTGAGAGGAATTATTTTATTAAAGAGGAGAATACTGCTGAGAGTTAGGTAACTATACTACTGACTACTACTACATAACTCCTTAAACTATCAAATTACTTCGTGGACCCGGGAAGGGACGACCACTCCTACTTTCGCCCCAAAGTGCAACTGCTTATCCGTTACTAAAGATCTTAAAGACTTCGGGATGGGCTTAAACGAATCCGAACTGTTTCTGCCCTTAGAGCCAAGCCAAATTGCGCGAACTTTTAATAGGAGTATGAAAAATTACATCAACTGAGCATTTGTGCAGGGAATATAAAGAAATCGGTAAAAAACGAAGAATTTCGCCTCCCTATGCATAATATTATGTACTTTGATAGTTAAAACCTTTAGAAGGGTCTGTGCGATCTCAGGATTATCTAATGACTTTCAGGAAGATGACTTTACAAATAACAACAAATTGTTGCTTTAATTAACTTTGATTAAGCTAAATAAAAGTAAGTGTGCACTTCATACCTCGTAAATTACATGATTTCATCATTTTATGACGTATCAGTTAATGCACGGCTGTCACCGCAGCAGTTTACGCTGTCTCTGCACGAGTAAACTAAGCGAAGTGAACTAGGCACTGTTAAACACCCATTCCCTGGGATTCTTGGCAAATTTGAATACTTTGCCGGAAAATCGAAATCCCAGTTTATCGGTAAAATATGGTTACTCAGCAAAGGGTTAAGAAGGCTCCGTCAGTCATCAGCAAGATAAAGTATCAAGATTCAACACCAGCTTGAAACACAATCAATTTACGGGGTAGAAAAAGCAAAATAAATTTGTGTCACAAAATTATCAATAAATGGACAACACCGGACCTTAGAAACGCACTCAACAACGTTTCGAAGGACCAAACAAATGTGATTGACTACATAAGCAGGTTATAGCATTTAACTGTGTTAAGAACCAAGCTAAGGGAGATAGTTGGCTCTCAGAAACTAAAGTTTTACTCTCATTTTACTGGTAAACGCACCATTCAAATCGGACATATTTATATTATTAGCCCAAATTGGGCTTGTTGAAATTGTTATATTCCTTAATAGCTTAATCGTGTGCACCAATGTTGGAATATTGGATGCTGAAGATAAATTCTTGGTAATGGTATTTTACTTATAGTTTGACATTTACGCTTGTACAGGAGCTGCTTTTGCGCTCATAAAGTTTCTTTTCTTGTCCTTTATTTGTGTCTAACCCTAAAGTGGTGTCAAGAGGTAGAGACTGAAATAATTATTACCTATTTAAATCGCGTTTTTGACACCACTTGGGGATCCAAATTTTGGGCACTAAAATTCTTATTTCATGGCTATTTTTTATTTTTTCATGCTGATTTGAAAAGCATTAAAGCATTTGACCAAGTCAAAAAAGTTTCAGTTGTATATCTTTTACGGTTTTTGCGGAAAGTTGAGTTAAAGTTGATGCCGTGGTGTCAGTAAAATGGCACGGATAAACACATCCATCCATCCATCCATATATTATATCGTCTCGCTTTATATATAGTAAGATATCAATGGATATTTTAGTTTTTTAAAGTTTCCGATATTATATGATAGTTCATTATCTACATATTTCGTACGTTGTCGAGTGTTGACTGATTTGAAACATTTCAATGGATATAATCATTAAAATGCACTTTTATAGCCTTAATATAATGATGATATCAACAATCATCAACACAAACTAAATAATAAATATAAAGAAACCACTGTAGCTTGAGGAATGAAATTACTGCAACTGATTACATAATATCAGCATAATATTGTGTCTCCAACTTTTAGAGAATCCTTAAAACTATTTCACTAAAGCAGCTTGTCTGCACATTGCAGCTCGGCACATTCTATTTCTCCAACTTCCCTCTATTCTGCACATTTATCGTTTACTGCTGTTTAGTGTTCATTAAATGCCTTAAGGCTCCGGTTTACTCGTCAAATAATTTTGCGTGGCTCCAGCACCCAAAATAATGTACGATCTTGTAAAATGTCAAATTATCAAGGTTATTGAGCACTTACTTAGGTACTCTATCATAAGAAGACAATATGACGATCATACAAGGCAACTTGTTCAGGTGTGCTTTAATTGCTGTAAACGAAAACTTTACCGTGGTTCAGCTCAAAAAACCCTATTTTTGCCCTTTTTTGGTCACCCGAATCTTGTGACGTCAATAGACACGATGATTATGCATAATAATAATAAGGGAGGGTCCGAGCATTGTGATTGGTTCACGGCACTTTCAATTAGCTTGTGGTTAGCTACCACTGGTTTCCTGTCTCCTACTTACCGTATGTAGGATGTAGGATGTAAGAGGAGGGTTTCCGAGGACGGCAAGCAGGAAATAATGCTCCTTGTCAGCTGTCAGTTAATTTCACGGATAAGTCGGGATAGTTACAAGTAACTGTCAGTGAAAAGCTCGGGTGATATCCGAGGAATATTATATACGACGACGGTATAGGCGAGAGAGAGAGAGAGAGAGAGAGAGAGAGAGAGAGAGAGAGAGAGAGAGAGAGAGAGAGAGAGAGAGAGAGAAAGAGACAACACAGTATCCCTCCGCAGACAATTTAATTAAAGCTCGCACAAGCAGAGGGTTATAAACAGAGCCAGGAGCTCCCGGTCACCATCAACAATATGTCGTCTGTTCACAATTAGGAATATATATCATATCATAATACACAGGCCATGATATATATAATATATTTGATATTGCAACTACCATCTCCTTCCGTTGTGCTTCCTTGGTAATCAATATATATATATATCAATATAAAGGTGACAGGTGTTCAATCTACGTTATCGTGATTATTACCTTGGTGGTATGACACCCTAACTAAGCCCCCCCCCCCCCCCCCCATCCAGTCCTATAGGTATTGACTTTTTTTTTAACGTTGCAAATCAGTCATGCGATTATAGTTGGTCAGCACTGTAAAAACAGAATATAATACGTAAAATACTGACCTGTTCCCACGTGTCTTGCTTCCCATAACAGGTATTATATAATATAGACCTAGAGCTAGGTCACTTGAAATTAAACAACAATTAACATATCTGCCATTGTTCATTATTAAAGTTTGTTTTGGTCCGGGCCTTGCTAGTTGGCCCTGCCATGGCTCTCTAGCTTGGGCAGGTTTGACTTATATTTATATACCGTCCAGAACAACAATGGCGTGTTAGGCTTACAATTAATTGCATTAGTTATTAATGATTATGAAATGTGAGAGACAACAATGTTACTAATATAGCAAGTGTGTTGTTGGAGATCAGGAGGATTTGCCATCCAAATTTCGAGCGTTTAGCGGCCAGATTTTTGCGGCGGTACTACAAATTAATAAATACAATCAGCTGTAATGATACAGTAAAGACACATACATGATACAGTAGAATTGAGTGAGACCATATCAAATTGCAATAAAAAGCTTTTCAATTATCAAACTTAAAATAAATTTATATCCATTTGACTGCTCAGTGTTAAATGATCGAATACCTATAAAGTATAAATCTTACGGTTTCTGAATGAAAATTAATGATTGCAGTCGACGCAACTCGTGATTGAAATTACGACAAATTCTTATAAAAACGCACCTTTAGGTCGAGTTTTGACTAAGCCACTGGAATTACACGCTGTTACACACAACTTGATATAACATCAGTTGCCCCAAGTGTGCCCCAGGAATTTCAATTTTGTGCCCCAGGTGAGCCCCAAGTGTGCTCCA